AAAAAAAAAAAAAAAAAAAAAAAAAAAAAAAAAAAAAAAAAAAAAAAAAATTTTGAGTTGCTATATCTGCCTTCCAGTGAAATTATGATGGCTTGTACATCCATAGGAGGTATAAAGTAGAGCAGTAGTTTTAATGTTCCCTTTTCCAACACCTCAGATTCAGAAGAAACGTATCTATTTTACTCATTTCCAAGGGTAAAAAAATTATCTTGGGCTACGTTTTATGAGTGATTTTTCATGTAGAGTTCTGTAAAACTCCTGGGTTTATATATGCTACTTAAAATGAGGTATATGAAATTAAAGATATTTCAGAGAAGAAGACAGGACAGCAACACTTAGCATTTAAGTCATTAACATCTACATTAATATAATAGAAATCAAATGCAATACTTTCTATATTTGTTTTAATTTATAAGCCAGGGAATTATTGACAATTATTATGAACTCTGTACATTAGGTTACTGAAACATTCTGCTAATCAAGCCACACATTTATCTTCTTCACTGTTACTCCCAGTTCATGTTCTTTTATCACCAGATTTCTTCTCAAAAAAGAATCCATAAACCAAACCGTCTTTCAGTCATCCAGAATTCAACCATCAGCAAAGCAATTGGTCACAGTGCTTTAAAATTATTTTGTAGTTTCCCCAATGCTTTATTGAGAGGTGAATTGCAAGGCCATTACACTATCAAAAGTCACATCACTGAAGGAGTTAAGTGCTATTAAAACCAAAGTAAGATAAGGCAGAGACGTTTTTGTCCTTGCTGGAAGAACAACAGGATTTCAAAAACTCTCATTTTTTTTACACTGTTTATAAGATGTGGAAGAGCATAAAATCAAAAGATCTGTGTAACACATGTAGATGTTATATGTTTTCCTGCTGTTTACAAGTAGGTACCATCACTCATTTTGAGAGGGTAGATCACTGAGTCTACTAGTAGGAAACTGTTGTTTCAGATACTATTTTTATTAATTTCCCAATGCAGAATGTACAGAGCATTGAAGTTAAATACAGCCCCAGCCTTGTATTGAAAGAAAAATTATGACCAAGTTCTTTGTAGTGTTGAAAGAGACAAGAAGGCTTACTGTGAGTTCGCAGCTATGAGACCTCTTATCTTGGCTGTAAATCAGCAGTCGGGAGCTGGAAGACTGAATTCTTTCTGCTGCACTGATTTATTGCCTCAACAAAGTTTCTTGTTTCAAGACTGTTTAAGGCTGCTCCTTAAAGAGGTTTGCCTGGCATAATATAAATACGATTAGGACTTTGATAAACATGCCACTACTCATGTCAAAGTTAGTCTGACAATTTATTTTCTAGTATACAAGATAGGACGTGAAGTCTTCAGGACCTTTTTACTTCAAAAATATTCTTTTTTTCTTCCTTGCTGAAGCTCATCAGTAGTAACACAGGACTTTTTGTTGTTAGTTTAAATCTAAGCAGCATGGGATGCAGTGAGTTTCTGGTCAGCATATCTTTTGACAGTGTTTAGTGAAATATAAACATAATCAGTGTTCAAGAGGAGAATCTGTGTAAGTAATTGCTCTTCCAGAAAATGTTTCAGTATTCCTAAATGAAAACAAATTGTGGTGGCATCACAGGACAAGAAAAAAAAGAATCCAAGTACAGTCAAGTCCCGGGGGATAGTTTTACAGGAGACTTTGAACACGACTGAATCCTAGTAAACAAGAATTTCACCAACACTGTTACGGATTTTTGCCAGGGGACTGCAAGTGGGCATCTCTTATATACTATACTTCATTAGATTTAAGTGAGAGTCACCATGTGGTTAGGATTCAAAATTTCAATCCAGTAGCCATCAGGATCCTGAACAAACGCAAGTCCTTTCATTTTACCTGTTATAGAAAGGAAAAAAAAAAAAAAAAGAGGATAAAGTTAAGACTACATGACTAGTTCTTAACGTCAAATATCACTACTCTGAAAAACCTTTTCTTTCTTCGTTTTGCGTGAGAATTAGTTGAAATTTAGACAGATAATTCTAAAAACATCAATATAATTTTTTCATCACTTTGTGTGCTATACATATATCTTTGTGTGCTAAACCGTCAATCTTACTCTCAAAGCTGTAGGTTAAAGTCACTTTAGAATTCCATCTTTTGTGGACTGAAGTTTTTTGCATATGCCCCTGTAAGTGTTCATCCGCTTCATAAAACAGAGAAATGGAGGACAGAATAGTACATGTTTGATCAGTAATGTAGGAAAAAAACCCACATTCGATCTCCCAGCCTGCTCCACAATGTGAAGTACAAAACTTCTTCCTCCTCCTTGGCATTTGCTGCATCAATTTTCCTTCTTTATTTTAAAGAAGAGCTTTAGCTCTCCCACTGACTGCTTCAAGAATTCTTTCCTGTGATTTATTCCATTTATAGTCTAACCTTCCTGTCCTATGTACCTTCATTCCACATCACTTCACAGCTCTAAGTTAGCAACCCTCACTTCAAGTCTCTCAAGGTCTAACAGGTGTTGAACAAAGCTCAAACTCTAAAATGCTAGAAATACCAAGCTCAATTCTTAAATCAATAAATCTGTGTTCAAGTTAAGTTTTCAGCTATATTTCTTGTATCTGTTTCAGCTGAGAACACAGTGAATAAGATGAAAATTCTTTAAGTCTCTTTTCAATTACTAGTATTAAATGTCTGTTTTGAAATGCGTCAGTCCTAAAATCCTCATGAGATTTTCATTAAAGGGAATCCAGTTGAAAAATGCAAGACTTCTCCCCACTCCTGCATTTTAGGCTACTTTGACATTTTACTGCAGGTCAGGCTGCATACACAAGGCACGTAGCAGACTGATGAACTACTGTTACAGAGATGGATCTATTGCCAGTTTTGCCCACTCTCTTAAGAGGTGCAGGTGTAACTGGTTCTAGAACCTTCTAAGCAGTGGCAACTACTAGAAACATGTTACCCAGATGTCCAGGAAGATCTGCTGGACAGAATATACTAAAAACAAATTAAAAAACTGACTTGCATTTCTGATAAAGACTTACCATCATCTGGTTTCTTTACAAATTTCACTCCTAGTTCTTCAAACCTCTTACAGGCTTTATAGACATCAGGAACAGCAATTCCAATGTGTCCTGTGCAACAAGGCAAAAAGAGTGAAGTAGACTGTAAATACTGCTGCGTGTTCCAGGAAAAAGTTTGCTCAGTATTTCATCCTCTGCAAAACTTTCACATGCTGTAGTTCACATAAGATATGATTGTGTAGAAGAGAAACATTGCTTCCAAAAAGAAGAGCATTTTGGGTATTAACATTATTCTCCTTCAGAGAATTTTCTTTTGATAATGACTTTCAAAATAAGAACTTTAGACTTGAAATATCTCTAGTTGTTTAGAGAATAATATTATCTAGAGTAGGAAAAAATGAGATTTTCAATCAAACTGCTTTATCTGCATTTCCTTTCTCAAAGCACAGCTACATAACAGGATTTTGTTGCATTTGCTCAGTTCAGCAGTACAAGGAGTTTATCATTAATGCTGTATTTGCAGAGACTGACACTAGTGCTATGCAAGGCCTGAGCTTACAAACCAATTCAGAAGCTTTAAATATCAAGTGGATTGACTGAGTGTGAAACTTATTTTACAAGCAGTGACCTTTCAAGCACTCAAGAGTATCAAATCAAGCCACACAAATAATATCCTCAGTGCTACAGACAAATAGAATTGTCCTTCTATCTTAAAATGGGTAACTAGTAGATTATAAATCAGAAATCCAAGTGTAAATCAGTGTAAATGTAAACCATGATAATCTAATACGCAAGAACAACTGCTGTTCTTCATTCAGTAGTTACAATTAGCCTGTGTTTGCTTGTCAAATGATTAGATTCTTTATAAAGAATGTAACTGTGGCTTATTACTCTGAAATACATTTACTCACTTTCACCATCTTTCAAAGCATTTACGCTGAAAGAAGAGAAAAAAAGGATGAGATGCAACTTCCCCTCTTTCCTACAGCTAGTTCAATTTCCTCAAAGTAATCTACTAGACAAGTCTTTTTTCTCCAAACAAGTTTAAAATATTTTCTCTACTAATTCAAGTATAAAAAACCCCTACAGCATATACTTAATCATCTTAGCACAAAATTGATTTAGATGTTTTCTCAAAACCATTTGAAACTGCATTTTCACTTAACACCCGAGAGAAAAAAGGCAATCACAATAAACCAAAGGTTAAAAACTATAAACACAAAATTAAAGACCTACCAAATCCTCTGGGATCTGAATTGCCATTGTGATAAGACTGATTTTCATCATTTTCAGTGCCCCAATTGCTGTAAGAAGTAATTATTACATATTGAAGAAAAGCATCAAAATTAACAAATTGTAAACATTCAGTTTCCCCAGGAGGGTAAGTTCTTTCTCCTGAGAAACCAGAGAATTTCATCTGTTGGCTGCATTCATTGATCAAGATTTTTCCCTAGTCATGGGTTCTCGGGATAAGCTTGGGGCTTATCCAGTCATGTTCACAGTCCTTTACTAGTATTCAGGTTCCACATTTGAATGAGTCAGAAATACTCCTCTCTCATTCAGATTACAAAAAAAGGTTTTGCTGCACAAGTCTGTTTATCTATTCATCACTGGGGAACAAAAAGGGACAGTAGCAGGTCCTGTAGCTAAGTAAGACAGTGGGAGATTTGGGAGATTCTATCTGCACAATTACAATTATTAGGAGCATTAACCAAATTGTCCTGTTTACAGGAAGTGTATGTTTTGACTTAATACCTCTTTTGATTAGATTCCAAAAGCAAGTTATCTATTATTAGGATGCTTTGGGGATCCAAAAAAAAGGTCTAATCACATTGGATTTTCCTGACTTACCCGCCCAAGTGTCATGCATACTCATATACTCAAAATATAGCAAAGACTGTTTCATATTTATGTACCACTGTTCACCTAGCAGTTTAAAGAGCTCTGAAGCGAGGCAAATTAAGCTTTCCAAATATCCAATCTCAGCCATATTTTAAGGTCATATGACAGTGAAAATGTATTCACAGTAATGATGAAATTTTTTATTCCATCCAAGAGGATTTACACTTATCCAATTCTCTTTAATCACAGTTAGCTAAATGTCATCTCTCATTATATAAATACTTACTGTGTCAGTTCAAGTGTAGCTTTTCTAGAAAAGGTCCAAGGTGTTCTCTCCGTTTTATCTTTTGGGATATCATTTTTATCTTCATAGCCCAGGAAATACAGTGAGAACTTCATAGTAGGAAAGTCAAATTTTTGAAGCAGTCTAAATGGTAACAATTATTTTGAAATAGTAACTTAAAAGAGTAATCAGGTAGCTTGCAAATAATCCACGATGTTTCTGCTATGGAAGAACTATTTCTGTGAATTTTTGCCTTTCTGTAATCCACACCTTAACATAGCTACATTTTAAATTATCAAATAAAACCATCCAAAACCCATTACAAACCTACAAAAATTAGAACAAACAGATGCTTAAAAGCCAGAGTACCAGTAAGTAAATAGCAAAGTCAGTACATAGGCTTGGGCCTTGAGGTTGTCACTCTATTACTTGTCTGTATTTCCACAGGAAGGTCTTTAGCAATTTATTCTTTGGTGAAATTTTAGACTTATGCATTCTGGAGAGCACACTGGCACCAGACAAACTTTAAGAACACAGCAAACATACCTTTAGATGAAATATCTTTACAATTTCAATAGCTAGCTATAATGATAAAATCCATTTCCCATGTGACAATTTAATCAACCAGAAAATACTTAAAGCATACATTTTTATGCAGAACATTTAACTGGAACCAGTAGGCATGCAAAATGAATCTAATTTCTTTTTCATCTTACAAAGTATTGAATTTTTATTTTCACTACAGTGGAAGTAGTTTATTTAACTTTACTCTGGATTCTTTTCAATATATTTAAAAACACTGGGGAATTCTGTTTTGAAATAACTCACATCAAATGGCAAGAAAGCACAAAGAGGCTCAGCATAAACCCATTAGACTACTGCAGGGCATCTGCCTCGCAAAGGCCTTCTTCAAAAGATTGAGTTTGGACCTTCTCTCCACCTTCTTGCCTTGTTCTTTTGTAACTGGAGGTGGTCATCAGCCACCTGTGAGAACTAGTAAAAAACTTAATTTGAAGATTTATAGCAATGACTCCTGATTATAAGCACTGTCATAACAGTTACCAGTTACCTGCAGCCTCAGCCAGGAGGAAGTAAGCAAGTTGTACACTGATAATTAATGACCTATTTAAGAAAAAAAGAAACTTCTAGTCAAGGCCCATATTAGTTCATTTGCAGCTCAGGCATTAACTGTGCTGTTGGAGTCCTCAGAGACTCTGCCAGACTGTCTAACTAAGCATCATCTGATGGGCTAGCATTGTTTATGTAGTTAGACCAATTAGTATAATTGCATCAAAATTTAAAAAAAAAAGGAAAACCAAAAACCAAACCCAAAAAAACCAAACCAAACCAAAACAAAAAAAACACCCAGGAAGAAAACCCGGTCTTATTGTGGCATATAACTTCTACTCACGTCATTCCAAGAACCCTTGTATAAAAATCCAATGACTTCTTAGGATCTTTTACTCTTAACATCGTCTGCTGAAACATAAAATCCTGTGGGGAAGAAAGGCTTATTATTTATACACCAACCAAAACTGAATTATGGCTATTAACAAACATGATAGTTAGTAATGAATCTAAAACCAGCAGATTCAGAAGCAACAGAGGACTACATTAAGTGTAAATAAAACTTTTTGTCCTAATCCTACACATACAGATTTGTGTTAAACAAATATGCCTTTGTAACATAACGTTTAAAACCATGACTGATATCACTCAATATATATTACCAGTGGTATCAAAAAAGCACGTATTTCTTACATTTTCTTTTTCTTTTATGGGGCTGTAGAACACATGAACAACTTCACATGCAAACAGACCAGACGTGAATAGTCAATATTGGGCCTCACTAGGGACACAGAATTTAAATAGAGCTAAACTCCTGAACTCATTATTTTTATTATTTCATCGCACAGGTGTTGAATTTCTGCCAAGTTTGATGATATCTCGGCAGCAAATCCGCCCTCCAACTCTGTAAGGATATTTTCTTGAAGCCACAGGGCAACTTTAAATACCAGGGGCTTATGAACGCCTAAGTGGGTAACAAGGGAACGGTAAGACAGTAGACAGAGATAATGAGAGGGGGGGGAAAAAAAGCAGATGTAGAACCACTGAAATGCAGTTACGTTCTCCTATTAAAACATAACAGTGTTTGGGAAGTTTTGGGGTTGTTTTGTTTTGGGGGGTTGTGTTTTTTTTGGTTTTTTTTTTTTTTTTTTTTTGCAACGCTGGCCGAAGCGCCCGCGGAGCGCTCGCTCCAGGCCAGCCCGGAGGGTTGAGGGACTCACAGGGGCCGGCCCGGCCCGGCCGCCCCCGCCCGCTTCGCCACGACCCTCAAACCGCGCCGGGCCGGCCCCGCCGCTCAAGCCGTCACAGCAGCTCCGTGCCCAGCGACCCCCGGCCACCCTCTCGCTCCCCCCGCCGGGACCCTTCCCGGCCCCATGCCGCCGCCCTTCCACCGCACGTCCGCCCGGCAAAGAGCGCTGCGGAAGCCGGGAAAAGGCGAGCGCCGCCGCCTCAGCCGAGCAGCAACCGGCAGCCCCGGGGCGCCCGCATCACCCCCATCCAGCCCACCTTCGTGCTGGCATCCGGCTCCGAGCAGGCGCCGTAGGCTGCCTCGTCCGTGAGCCCGCTGAGCTCCGCGGGGTTCGCCATGTCGGGAGAGGAGGAGAAGGAGGAGGAGAAGGAGGAGGAGGACGCGGCGGGAAGGCGGAGCTGCGCCCTGCCCCGCCTGCAGCCGGGCCGCTACCTCGCAAGGGCGCCGGTGGAGCGCTGCGAGGGCGTGTGGTGAGGGCGGGTACTGCCTGTTCGTTCCGTAAGCGGTATCAAGCCTTTCAAGATTTGAATCAAACTTAGTCTGCTTGGCTAATCTTTTTGTTTTACGAAAAAGAGGAGAGAATCCCAAGATGAATGGGGATATCTGGACGATAGCCATCAGGAGTGAAGTCAGCAAAACTGAGCAATAACTGGGACAAAGGAAATTCCAGCAATGGGCAATCATGACCACCGACTCATTGACCACCTACTCAAAACAGACCCCAAACTCCAGTGAATGCTGATGCGTTTGTGCTTTGTAACCAAAGAATGCGCATGCCTGTGTTTGCTGAAATGTATGAATAGTGGAAAGTTTTGATGATCAGGGAGCCAGCCTTTCATGGGTTTCAACCCAGCTCCCTCCTTTGCGCAAACTAGAATAAAAAATAGAAATACCCCGCCTTGATGCGTGAATCGGTGCTGTACACCGGGTAATAAGCCTGCATTCGGGACAACATAAGGACCAACAAGAAGGAGCCTCCCTGCCTGTGGCGTTACTTAGCTGAAGCGTGGAATGAAAGCACGGATCCCTCCGCTTCCACGGCGAGCACAGGCACTGTAACCCAGCTCCATTGGAATGGTGATGCGTTTGTAAATCCCGGCGGTATCAGGCTGGTTGGGAATCCTAGCCTTGCCCTGTTAACAAACATACATATGGTGTGCTCAGTCATGTTACCTTATATAACGTTACCTCATTAATATTTATTAATTAAAATAGCTAAAGGGGAGGTGGCAAGAGGATGGATCCAGGCTTTATCCAGTGGTACCGAGCAATAGGCAAGAGGCAACGGGCAGAAACTGGTGCACAGAAAGTTCTACCTGAACATCAAGAAGAACTTCTTTACTGGTCAGATGACCGAGCACTGGAACAGATTACCTAGAGGGGTTATGGAGTCTCCCTCACTGGGTATATTCAAGAACCACCTGGATGCAATCCTGCGCCACGTGCTCTAGGATGACCTTACTTGAGCAGGGAGATTGGACCAGATGACCAACTGTGGTCCCCTCCAACCTTACCAATTCTGATTCTGTAACTTGATATTGATAGAGGTTGGTTTTTGCTTGTGGCTCCAGGCACTGGGAGAAGATTCCAAGTAGCATCTGTCACCCTTCAGAGTTATGCAGTGACCATTAGTATAATCAATCATTTCAGGCCTAAGGAAGATGAATAATATTTTTCTCAAAAAAACTCAGCATGGAAATCAGGATAGAATACTCTGTGGGGGAGAAAAGAAACTAAAAATGAACTTTTGATAATCGAGAGGAAAGCACTTGCAGTACAGCGTTCCGTCTGCCTTACTCAAGTAACTTCCATCGGCGCATTCAACCACACCAACCCCCCCGGGCAGAGGGAACCCGCGGGACCGAGGTACACGAGGCCTTTACGGTAGAATGACAACTTCTGGGGGGGTCGAACTTCGGCCGGTCCTGCGCGGGGCCGCAGCGACGCGCGGGCACAGCGGGCGGGCGCCGGCAGCGCCTCCGCGGCTCCCGGGCCGGGCGGGCGTTGCAGCCGCTGGCCCGAAGCCCGGCCCGAGCCCCCGCACCTGTTACGGGTCCGCTCCCCCCGCCCTCCAGCAGCTCATCTGCCCGGCGAACGCCCGGCCGCGGGAGGAGCCGCTGGCGGGGAGGAGCCGTCCCGCGGCGGGCGCTGGGCGTTGGACCGACCGCTCCGACCGCTCCGGCCGCTGAAGGGAGCTCGGGTGGGCGCTGCGCTGCCCCGGCGCTGCTCCCCGCTCCCCGCCCTCTGAGGAGGCATCGCTCCGGCCAGGTCGGTGAGGCTCTTCGCCTACATCTCTCTGCCAAAGCCTAAGTGCCGGTTCAGGCACTTCAGCTTTTCAGAGGAGAGCCAAAAGGCTGTGTTTCTCCGTGCTCTGTGCTTGGGAATCCTCCACTTCTCCCTTACCTCATCCTTCTTCAGCCCTCCTAAGATGCATATTGGAAGCCAGACCTACTTTCCTTGAATTAATATGTTCTGTAGACAAGGTTTTGGGCATCCTGGAGGGGAGGAAAGGGGTTTTGGGCATAAAAGCACATCTGCTGTTCCAGCCGGGAGAAGTGGGCAGCTGGAGTTCATACAGGTGTTTGAAAAGTGAAAGTCTCAGCTGAGCCACCGGATATCTTGAGTACAGATTTTGAAGAGCCAGGGAGGATGCCACTATACAATGTAGTCTTTGCGGGGTTTTTTTAAAGCAAGCTGTTAGAACCCGACCTCTCTCATCTTGGTCTTTAGGAGCGTTAGGGGAAGATATCAGCTAAAAGAGAAATAGTTAAAAGACAAGAAAATTAACATCCAACCTATTCTGCCTGAGTGGAATAATCAAGGAGGAAAGTACCCCTGCTAACCTTGTAGATGACCAGGCCAGTCACAGAAAAATGAAGAAAAAAGAAAGGAATATAGATAATTAAGGTGTTTTGTTTTGTTGTGGGTTTTTTTGTTGTGTTTTTTTAGTGTTTTTTTTTTCTAAAATTTGTTTGGGGTGTGTTTTTTGGTAGTATTTTTACTTCAAGAGAGAGATGAACATTTTGTCTAGCAGGTGATTGTATGCCAAAGACCATAAAATAGTGGCCACTTTGTCATCTATTACATGGGCAAAAATAAGGAGCTAGTAATGTACTACCAAGTGTTGCTTTTCAGGTCAGCCTCACCTTTGGCTGTTTATTTCCTGAATCAGGCAATAGTGTCTAAGAGAGCGTATAACACTGTTACATCTGTGGTTGGCTGCCTTAAGGCCTCACAAGAACTACTAAGGAATTCTTTATAGTAATTGTGATCGTTATTGTAATAGTATGCTGAGTAGAATAGCAACTTCTGTGTATGCAAGTCTTTTTGTAAGATCAGTTGCTGAATTTGTGTATGTATTTTATAAACTAAAATTTAAATAAATCATTTGTACTCTAAACAATTTCTATTTCTCAGATATGCTCTGAAAGTATTAATATTTTAAAAAATTTGTTGTATAGAAAGATTTTTACTCCACAAAACATAAATATATGATAAATTGTTTTTAAAAAAAGTTTTCAGTCTTCAGTTTGACATTTGCAAGCTATCATAAAATGTATATAAATGTCTGATAAGAACTGGAAGAGGACTTGATAAGACTATTGAATTTATATCCTTGGGAATTCAGTTTTGAGATGCTCCTGTCTTCTTGAAAAGGTAGATTTTAAATGTCTGGATTGTTATAAAAATTTTTGGGTTTTTTTTGCAAATTTCAGATTTCAGAATGGCGGGGGTACAAAAAAGTAATAAAGGAAGTTCAAACACTCGAGAAAATGCTGGGCGTAATCGCACTGGTTCTGTCATTACTCCTGGTAAATCAGAAGATGCTTTTACCAGATCTGCTCACCATGGTCAACGAACAGGAAGCATTTCCTCTTCTCGAGCGTCTTTTTCTTTTGGAAGTCAAAGTGTGTCTAAGTTTTACCGCCCTAGTGGAGCTCCAAGCTTGCACAATATCAAAGCAAAACAGGTTATAAATTTCTGGTTATTTTCTCAGATCATTAAATACAGTTTATATTACCAGTCAGTTTTTTGGGGGTTTTTTGTTGTTTTGTTTTTTAAAAAATTGAATTTCCTTATACTTGGTTCTTTTACTAAATTACTTCTGGTAGAAAGTGAGTGTTTTCAATGTTTGTAATATTCTAAGATTTTATTTTAAAATAATAGAGGAAGGAAGGAGATATTAACTGAATAATTTACACTGAAGCAAAGTTCTACTCTGTTTCTGCAAATATTTACCCATGTTTGACCTTTCTGTATTAATATAATACATTGAAATTTTGATAGTGAAAAATAAAACCAGTTAATGTGTCACAGAAATATCTTAAAATATAGCTAGTATTTTTTTAATGTTAGTTTTTCCTTGACATATCCTCAGAGTCGACTTTACCTCTTATAATAATTCTTAATTATTTGTTCTTCTGTTAGCCTCTGAAAGTTTAGATATTTTTAAAGAGTAGGACATTTATGTAGTTGTATAATACAAGACAGTAGATTTCAGCATGAATTGCAAGATGAATAGGTCATTGTTGTGATCACTTTGTGTATTTTTAGTTTGAAAGATACGTTCTCTGTTTTAGGCTGAATATGTAAAAGCAAGAGAAAATCGAAAAGCACAAGTTAATGCTTCATATAAATACATATTTGAAGTTCTCAGTGCCACGATAGGTTTAGACTCAGCAACTGTAGAAGAAATGATTTTGGATGTCCCTTCGGTGAGTCTGTTCTGTATATTTATTGATTTAAATTATTAGCTAAAATATGTAGCAGATTACCCATTTGATTTGAATTGTTATTCATCACTTTGATTGTTTCTGTCAGAAAATGTGATTATTAAGGCATAGAACTCATCTAAAGGATACCTGACTAAATTTTTCAGCCTAGTTTCCTGGCAGATTTGCAAATATTCCCATAGTTTTTGATTGTGGCTTTTTCATCTTTCTTATCTCAAGGAAAATATAAATACTGCTGTTGTTTTGACCGAAGAGTTTCTTGTCACATCTACCAGTTCCAACAAGTTTTATTCATCTCAGCCTGACATTATTATGTTCTAACGATGATCATTTTATTTGTTAAGCAAGTTGTCACTGAAATTACAAAGATTCAGCAAAAATGTGTAACTTCATGGAGACATTTTGAAAATTAAGAGTGTTGTTAGTAATAAGAAGGACAATTAACCTTGAACCATTTAAATACTATAATGACATTTGGAAAGACTAACTAAATAATTTCAGTTTTGAGTACTTTGTTTATTTTTAAATGTTTAAAAGATGGGATTAAGTGGGTTTGTAGAGTGAGTAGATCCCAAACCTGCAATTCTTTGTGTGTCTTTAGTGTTGACCTTCATAATGTTTCAAAGTGATTGAGCAAACAGGAGCAACCAGTTAAACTGTAGTTTTAGTAGATGATTAAAACTCAGCATGGCTGTTGTGAAAAGATAAACAGTCCTGGGTTTTTTTTGTGATACACAGCATAGAAATACTTCAAGTATTGTCCTTTTTTTACAGGTGCTAAATGGTATATAGTTTCAAATCATCCTGACTTCCTGTGAAACTGTTGTTCTACACCAAGTCTGACTAATGCAAACATTTGAGATATTGAAACATTTTTGATTCTTGAGGCTTCTTTGTTTTAATTTGGTTTTGGTTTGGGTTTTTTTTATGTTTGTTTTAAGGGGTTGTTAATTGTTTTGTTTGTTTGGTTTGGTTTTTTATTGGGTTTTTTTGCTGGTCACCAGCAAATTGTTGGAAATTTTCCCGTTTCCAGTTTTAGTTTATTCGTAAACATTTTAGGCTGTTGGGGCTGTGTTAACACTGTCCTTCAGCAAATTGTCGTTTAGTAAATTCCCATATATACATATCATGTCTTTGACATCCATGAGCTAAGTTTTACCCTTTAAAGCATTAGTTTGCATATGTATTCACACAGTGAGTGTGTGTACCACATGGACTGGAACCAGAAGCTCTTTGCAGAATCAGTAGCTGCAGGGACAGCTCATGTCTTACCTTGCGTGTAGAACCACACAACCCCAAAAGTTAGTTTGCCTTTCTCTTTTGTCATTGAGCTTTCAGTACTTAAACAATTTTCTTTTTCTTTCCCTATTTTTGCGGTGGGAGTTTTTAATGTATTTTTCTCAGTTTTAACCTCGTTATTCACTAGTACCGAGTAACCAAAGCAAAATTGATTTCTAGAGCTGGCTTGCTTTTGCTTCTTTTATTTTCATGTGATGTTGCCTTCTCACAAGAGTGGGTTGAAATTCTGTCCACCTGGGTGTCACTCATTTTCCTGTCACTGTTCTTATTCAGTTTTTATATTTGTTTATAAGAAATACATAATTCCTAAGAAATATGCCAGGTCTAGAAGTGCATCCTTTGTCTTTGAACAGGTGATTTATCTCCAGACATATTTGCTTGCTAAATTTCTGATGGTTTTTTGATGGGAAGGAAACAGGTCTCGCTACCAAGGCTGAGCCCTTCAGCTAGACAGTTTGAATGCCCAGTCATATCTTGATGAGCTAGTTGTCCTTGCAGATACTTACAGAGACTGTGAAAGAAGCTGCATTTTGACCAGATTAGTCAATATATTCTGATCTCCTCTGTACCTTCTTTCAGTGCTTTTCAGAGCTTTGTTCACTTCCTATTAAATCCCATACCCTGGTTTTACCAGGACACACAAATAATCTAGGACAGTTTGAAAACTTGGATTTTGGAAACTCTTAGCTGTAATTTCAGGCAAGTTCTTCTGAATGACATACACAAAGTCCATACACAAGCAGCATTTGTTACAAATCTTTCCATCCTTACTATGCAAAGCACCTTGTATAACATGACAAAATCAAAATGAACATCTAGAGACCTGTAGTCTCTACTATACCTTTTAGGGTGGACAGTTTATGGACAGGTACAGCAAGC